ACAAAAATTAGTACTAATACTTAATTTACAAATACAACTACTCACCTAAAACAATATTAATAGTAGTTCAATAAATTTATAGATTATCATGTAGAGGATGGAAATTAGAAACGTGGTTTAAAATATTTTTGGTAGTAAACAAATGAAATCATCAGGTGAGATTGAACTTTGACTAATATTCTAAGCCGAAAATATAAAAATTGAAGGAAATATATATGTTTTTATATTATAAATAAAAATGCAATGTTCAAAAAAGTCCAGTGTACTCAACAATGAATTAAACAAATATTTTGTTTTTGTTAAGGTATTTATTTTTCTTCCGTGTATTCGAGAATGGGTCGGGAAGAGTTTATTTAAAATAACGTGTATCTGACACAATTTTCTGGTGCTAGAATAGACAATACAAAAACAAATGAAAATAAACAATATATTTTAATGGTACCCTGTAGTACATGGCATTTTGAAGCGTTGTGGCATTTTTCCTCGATCTTATGTTAGGATGATTAATTTGCCTTTTAAAAGTTGTCAAAGAAAGTAGAGTAGCTTTTCAAGATAACAATGCCTTTAAAGAAATGGTACGTGCTTGTAAACCGAGGATACTTTTTCTTGTCAAGGACCTCCAGCACTTGATGTTGTTCATGCTAGCCCTTCTTGCTGCCTCCAATGTCAGTTTCCGAATCCAAGAGGATTCCCTTCGTTAGTAGTAGGGCCATGGACACCGGGTTGGGGACGATAAAAGGACAGTTGGGGGCAGAACTGAAAGGGGGTCGATGACCTGAGGTAGTGGGGGGTACTCAGCCATATCCTATACCTAGTACCTAGCCGTCCTATCTGCTATACCTCCCGGGCAACATCTCTTCCCCCGCACCGCCTTCCTCTTAGTCAGCCTGGCTAGAGGTTCATGCAAAAATGAGCGCTAGTATTTCTTAAGGGTTCTAAACCATTAATTTGCCGAGTGGAACAAAACTAGTGTAAAACATTTTGAAAAGTGAGATAGATAAAATGAGTCACAGTTTAAAGATATACTGAAAATTTGGTCCTCCTTATTATCTTGGTTGGAGTACCCTTATCTTTTTTATTGTCCCTTTAAGGGTATTTCTTTAGATAAATATTTCACAGATATTAAATATAATTTATCTCATTTTTTCTTCCTAAACAAATTAGTAGCCATTACGCTGAAAGTTTAAATAAAATTATGTTTTTTAGAAAGTTCAAATTGACTCAAATATAAAACCAGGAATGTTGTTTATAATAATTAAACTATCCATATATTAACCAGATAACAATAGGTATAAGAAACATAAACAATGTAGATAAAAAAATTTAAAGTGAAATGAAGTAGGTTAATGAACATTAAAGTAAAATAAAGTAGGTAGAATACTAACAACAAAAACTAAAAAATAAATAATAATAACGGCTAAATCGTGCGGACTAATGAACTAAACATAATCAAAATAAGTTAACATTTAAGACTGTATTAAATAATATCAACGATAGCACTTATGAAAACCGCATATGTAAATGCAAAAAAAAAAAAAAGGCATATGAACATAATTTTTGTCGGAATCGGTATTATATGAAGCTCATATTACGTAATTGAAACATTATTACAGCTATTATCCATTACGATTGGTTATTTCTCCTTTAGTTAGTTATCAAATTCTTTCATATTTTATATTTAACTATTTTTTATATCCAAGATTAATTTGAAATGGTTAATTATTTCAAATAAAAAAAAAACGGTACTTCAATAGCCAGTATTGAAAATTAGCCATTTAAGCCCTGATATAGAACATCAATAAAACCTACATTATATTAAAAACTGCTTAATAATACACTGGTATACTGGGTTATCTCAAAATTGTTTGAGCCGTTTTTGAGAAAATCTTAAAATTGTGTTAAATCGATTATATAAAGTACCACTTCCGGTTTGCCGATTTTGATGAAAATGTTGCTGTAATATCGAAGGCTTATGAAAACCTTAAATGTGCAATTTCACTTTCATACGACTTTTCTTTTTTGAGCTAGACTGATGATAACACACACACACACACACACACATTTATTGACCAAAATAAGTTTTTGTGAAAACAATTTTAGGAAAAATAGTTTTTAATACTAGGTGATTTTAGTTACTATTTGTAAAGAATTGTTAGAACTAATATACTATTGCATTTAACTCATTTTTCATTCGGTTTTTTTTTTAGGTTTTCCCACTCTGAAAAATTACAATTATATCTCTATAATATAGAAATAGTAGCATTAAACTATAAAGAAAATCGTCTAACTCGGGCTAATTTTAGCAACGTTACAGTATATCGCATTTTATACACTGATTTTAATAATTCTTAACTTGCTCTAGTTCATCATAAAAATCGTACTCTAATGATTTCTTTATGATCGGTTATCGGGAACATTAGTCCAATTCAATTATGTTATTTTTAATGAACATATCGATAGCCACACTGCTAAACCCTGCTTACAGGGTTCCCTAAGAATAATAACAGAGTTTCATAATTATGTATCTTAGTCTGACTTAGAAGAATACAAAAAGGTGCATACTTAACTTGTTGATTGCTATAGTGATTGTGCAGTTGAATGTATTATACAATGTGTAGATGCAAGTAAAGTTTACATGTTTGCGGAAGTGAATATGGAGTAGATGGTGGAACAATTGCTTGAAGGAATTTGTGTATGCAGGTAGGTGAAGAGCTCCAAAAGGAGGTAGCACGAATGACGAAGGATTTTCTGAAGGAAGTAGTTTTGTGGGAGGGGATTTATAGATCCATAGGCAGAGACCTGGTATTTCGAGAGTGGATTGAGGAACGTAGAGTGAAGAGTTCCAGGATGTAGGGAGGGTTTTTGGTTCTGAGCACTTGGAAAAGGAAAACGCCAACAAGGAATTGTAGTCCAGAAGTAGAATAAAGCCACTTCAGCTCGATGTACCAGAAGGAAACATGGGAATACCTGGGATCCCAAAAATGTATCTTTTGAGAAACGATACTTGGAATGAAACGTTGTAAAACATTTGACTTAAAGCGATTATTTTATCACACGTGTTATTCACTTTTGTCATTTTGGAGTAGTCTATGAAAGTTTCGTTTTTAACATACTCAACTTCATATGAACATGGTTTGTTTGATTCACGAATGTTTGGTAAGTTCTAGATAACCTGTTGATATGTAGATCACTGCGTTTCTGGCCAACATTAATAACCTGGTAAACATTCCAACTTGATGATATCCTGAAGGTTGGTAGACCCGTCCTTTCAGTTCTACGTATAAGAAAGCAATCCCTTCACAAGATTCTTTATTCCATAACCAAATCGAGAGTGTACAGCCCTGGGAAACGGTGATGAGATTCCACGGGCCACGGCTCAAATTGTAAAGGGAATATGTAGTGTAGGGGTAATGTAGTTTTACTAAACTGGTAGTCAAAAAACCCAACGCAGCTTGAATTTTACATTAAAAAACACGTATTAAAGAAATATTTTTGACTCTAAAGTATATGACAAGTCAAATGGGATTACCATACATTAATCCTTCCTCGATTCTCCATAGGATTAATGATACGAGTATTAAAATAAAATGTGGACTTCATATCAGTTTGTCTTCGGTTGTCTGTTCAATCGCATTGGTTTTGATTTTGTATTTTTTTCTTGTAAAACAATATTTTATTTGTATCAAACATTTTTAAGAGTGTAAAATGGCTGTGCATTTCCTGGCAGTTGCTCAAATTACTGTATTAATTAAGAACGGCCGAAGTCAGCGATACGCGGCCTGAGTCCATGGGCTACCTGAAAGAACGGTTCGGCGGACAAACAGAAAGCTACGCTAGGAGACCGTGATCAGGTCATCTAAGAGCGACATCTTCAGCTGATAACCGCTTCATCCCCATGCGGACTCTAAGAAACCGCTATACCACACTTCAGTTGAGATTTCTCATTGCGTAGATTGCGTATTGCTCGGGGGTTCGGATGTCAGCGCACACAGTAAGGAGAAGGCTTGCTGAACTCAACCTGCACACAAGGGTTCCCGCTTGCGGCTGTTTACTCACTGCAGCATACCGAGAAGCTCGCCTTCACTTTTACTATAAAAGTTCACCATGAACATGCTGCCTGGGCAGAAGATGATTTGGACTCTGTTCTGTTTTCTGACGAGTCTAGCTATAGCCTTTATGGTGCAGATGGACGAGTACGAGTGTGGATAATGCCAAGTAAGCAATTAGCTCAGAGTAATATAGCGGAAAGAGTGCAACTCGGAGGAGGGCCGGTGATGATGAGAACCAAGATCGTGTAACCCACCTTATGCGTAATATGCCTACGAGAGTACAGGCCGTTAAGAAAAAGTGGACGACAGTAGGAGGTGCACCGGTTTTTATGACCACTAGTTTAACTCATATTTCCTTTTACATTTGACATATAAAAATAACAGCCGTTTTATTCGCTCAACGCTTCCAAACTCATACTCATCATTGCTCGTACATGCGGTCAGTAAAATCTTTCTGTGAAATCCGAGATTGTTTTAGCAATTTGCAATATATATGTATATAAGTATGTGTATATATATATATATATATATATATATATATATATATATATATATATGTGTGTGTGTGTGTGTGTGTGTATTTTCTTTTCTAATTTCACTACAGACCATGTAGAGCTTTTGCCGCCTTAACAAGCCTGCTCCATCTCTGCCTGTCTTTCCATTTATCTGCAAGCGACTCTGTTGCATCTTTGTTGATTCTAGCTATCCATCTGCTTTTTGGCCTTCCGGTCTTTTGCCTTCTATTGAGGCATTCATTGTAATATATATTAAGGATTTTAGTTTTAAGAGATTTGTGTTCAAAATTTGCGCTTTTATTTGCAATTGAATGCTTAAATATGCAACAACATGTTCTTTTCAGTTTATCGAAAGCTTGTTTGTTTCTATATCTATATCTATATATGAAAATAGTGTTGGTGTAAATATAAATAAAATATTTTCTTTTTGTTTCAGCATTGAGCGGGACCGACTTCGCGAGCGGGATCGGCAGGCCCGGGCGCTCATGAACTGCGAGCCGAGCCCGACCCCAGGCGGCGCCCCTCTCTTCGGCGCACCCGTCAGGGTAACCTCAAACAATTGTTATATTTTACCTTTTCTTATATTAATACATTTTTCACTTATTCTTATATCATTCTACATTTGTTTCTATTCATCTCTATTCAGGTCTTGATGATTCATGTTTTTCCTTTTTTCTTTCAGTACACATAATTTTAACATCCTCAATGTGTAATATATTTATTACTCGGATAATGTTTCTTTTTAGCTCCATTAGTTTTCGAATTCTTTAATATCTAGATTTTTCGCCACTCCTCTCAAAAATTCCATTTCTACAATTAACATCCTTTTGCTGTAATGGATGTGATATATTCGTTCTAGATTTATATATGTGCCTCTTTGGACTGGGCTTTAAATTCGAATTCCAGAGGACACCGTTTAGCATTACAAGAAAAAAAGTGTTCCTTCCTTCTCTAAGCCTCCGTTCAATATTTCTCATGGAGGTCTCTTCACTGTGGGGGTTTGATACCAATTGAACTTTTCCACTGTTCTGATACCATTTTTATTTGGTGTATCATCAGATGAGGTACCATGGTCTTTTTTTCTGTTCTTTTTTAATTCTTTGTAAGTAATATCCAACCTCCATTTTTCATATGAATCGTTTAACTTGTAAACAATCAGATGGTGTCCTCACTATTTTGGGCTTTACATCACTTTTGTCATCAACTTATGTTAATAAGGTTTGTAATATTTAATATTATGAAAAGAAGTTATTCGTGTTTTTTTTATTTTTTTTTTCGGTTAATTTATTTATTAATTCATTAGTATAAACCGTGGGCGTAGAAGACCTGGGGGTTTTGCGCCTATAAACTACAAAAAATTCACCAGTTTTTTTTTTAACATTATTGCAAAAAGTGTTTTGTTCTGTTTCAGTAAATCGAAACAATATTACAATTTGTCGCAGATAAAATAGTATCAGGTTTTAAAAAAAGTTCTTTTATTTTAATATTTCTTTCTTTATTTGAATTGTATTTTAATTCAATTATAAATTAAATTTTTATGATTATATTTTGTTAAATTTATTTTCCAAAAAGTATTTATTGTGTTCACTAAAACCAATCAAGAATAATATCAAATTTTAAGGAGAAGTGAAACTATAATGCAAAAAGATGTACGTATTGTCGATATTTTTTTTATCTACATTTTCTTGACGTAGTAAAATTGTAATTCCTCGCCTTATTTAATATTTCATAACTCTTATAAAATTTAATTTTTAATTGTTGCTAAGGAAAGTTATTCAACCTTAAGTAAAGTAGCGGTTATGTAACCTATTTAATACCAGGTAGATTATTGGTCAGTACAGGTTGCTTTGCTGGCTTCACTTAAGCGTTTAAAGATAAGCATTTTTGAAGGTCTTAAAGCACATTACGGAAACAATATGTTCTTAAATATCTGAAGTTACATGAGGGGTGACTACCCCCTTTCCCCGTGGGCGATGGTGTATAGCTTAGTATAAACTCCTCTATCACCTGAATGTAGAAATTTTAGTTCCATTTGTATTATGATGTAGTATTTTCTTTGTTTTTCCCTTATCCCCTGGTTTGAAAGTTCAAAAAATGAAAACTCACAAAAATATGGTTTCTTCAAAAAATTCATAGCCTTGTAAAAATATGCCTTCAAAATTTTGATGGCGCTATTCAACTCTATTGGCCCCTAATAATGTTGAAAAATTGACATCCGATTTTTCCATGTAATAAATTCATATTCATGTAATAAAATTTGTTGATATAATACTATGTTAATTTAAATAACTTAATATCTTCAGGATTTGGCTTTATTTTAATATCATTATATTATTTTAGAAACTATTACTATTTATATAGTTGCCATAATTGAATATTTTTTCGAATATAAATTCCTTTTACTTAAAAAAAAAAAAAGATTTCTAATTATGATATACAATCTACATAAATAGTTGTTACGACCAAGTCTTGTTATTCTAAGATTAATAATGTAAGAGTGAATTTTTACCTAGCAACCCCCCCCCCTCTCCCTCGGTTGAAATATTTGCAAAACAATGCAGCCCTTGTCCCATAGTCAATAACTTGCTCGCAGAATTTAAGCCATTTACTCAGTTGCCATCACTTCATCACCCAGCCCTCAGTAACAATTTTCAAGTCGATTCCCAACTAATTAGAAGAAGAAAAAGGAGCCGAAACATGTCGACAACAATCCATCACACCTCTCCCCCCCCCTCTTCCCAATTGCTTCCAATTATCCTGATATGATAAGCTACCTTATTTAGGTTATTCATCTTTTTGTGGGATTTTTATATTATTATTATATTTTATCAATATATGATTTAATGTGTATAAACGTTTATATTAAAATTCCTCTTTTAATCCCATGGGTTTTATTTTATAAATTAAGAATCTTTTTGAAAATATATTGCTTAATTTTTCAAAACAATTCCAGATCATGGTATTTCCTAGCAATCTCGCTAAGAGGTGCCTCTTTAAGGAATCAAACTCCCGCCCGACCGCTCGTTCGGTTCCTGTCCGACTCACAACGATCCTTCATTCAAAAATCACAGTTTAGTGGAGGAGGGGGGTTGCAAGAAACGTAAATAGACATTGCAATGATGAGAACAATTCAGGATTCGATTGTTATTTTTTGTGTCCGATGAATAAGATACATTTCTCTCCCTAATTCCGAAGTGCTGATCGTACAGGTTATTGAAAACTTGAACGTTTCATGAAGGTCATGTTCATTATTTTTTTTCTCTCGTAACGGGATCTGCCGAACCTTGCCAAGCTATCCTGAAAAGATTGATTTGAAAGAAAGTATTTCGAGAACCGCTCCTGGATCAAGGATTTAACTCAAGTACTATAAACACCGTAGCTGATAATCTATCACACATGAAACGAACAATTGTGTTTTTTTTTTGTAATATTATCAGCATTGAAATATTTTTATTTGGTGATTCGTATTAATGTTTAACATAGTATCATGAAAATCTTTTCATTTATATTAGCGTACACTATTCACGCATGAATGTTTTTATCATTATTTAAGGTTTTAAATTAAGCTTCTAAACCTTTTTTTGTCAAAATCAACCTTCAATTCCTTAGGAAGAAATATGCCAAGTTCGTAATTGTACATCTCCAATTAGGCCTAGTGATATAAATAAGTCTAGGACGTCAGATAGAGTTGCGTTTTAGTCACCAAGGCCACAGCGCCATGCCTTAATTATACTACAGATTAAAGAAGTATTTTTTAAAATTACAATATGTCCATACTTTTCTTTCGCATTCCAAGAATAAGAATACGCTTTTTTTTTAAACTTCCGACTTGACCAACAAACCTTGTTCAGAAGAAGATTTACACCGTGATCCGCCGATGACAAAAGATAAATCGCCTTGAAGCGAGACCAGTCTTCCCACACCGTTCTGTCCACTGTCGCATAGCAAGAGACAAAAGCATCGTTTGAACCGAATAAAAATAAAAGGGAAAACAAAGGAGACCGGTACTGACGTCACGAAGGGAGGGGAGGTAGGATGGAGTGATGCAACCGGTGGCGGGAAGGGAAGGGCAGAACCTATGACGCAATCCAGGCTACGTCAATTAGTCGGCTGTAGTGGTTGTAGTCGGCTAGTATTCTACTACTACTACTAGTAGTAGCAAGTATTCTCTGCCGCGTCCTAGTTCGTCATCACCAACCCCAACGGATATTTATCAAATAAATGCGTCAACAATAGACTAAACCTTTAAATAAAAAATTCAGATTTGAAAATAGTTTCGTGTATAAAAGTATGGAAGGTGAGAAGCAAGAGCGGAGCATGTTGTTCAGAGTTGTGTCCTTAATGAAGCCAGAAGCAAGATTTGGACTGAGCCGGAATTGCTGGAAACCAAACTTTACGGGAGTTTAATTGGAAGAACGAAGAAGGTCCAAAATCTTTTTAATCAACAAAATTTAAATACAGTATTTTTAGAACAATGAAAGTTATAAAGTTGTCTGTTAAAACATTATATACATAAATCAATACAATATAATGGTAAACTTTATAAATTGAGTTAAAATAAACGAACACAAATTTTAAACAAAACCTTAGAAACAAATAGGAATTAAAATAAAACACTTAAAGAATAATTTTTTTAAATTCGAACATGATTCGAAATTCTTTCATTTCATAATAATGTAGTATAAAAAAAAAAACGTTGAAAATAAATTTATCTGGTGTTTAAATTCTACGCCTCAATTGATGCATTAATAATTTTAAAAACATTGTTCATTGTTATTGTTTCTTCCTACGGTTGAACTCAATAATTTTTATGCACATTTAAATGACTTCCCTATATCAGCTTCATTTCACCTAACAACGGTCAATAGAAAATAACCCAAGTTAATAAATAAATAATTTCTAGTTAAATATTTATAATGTAATATTTTTATAACATATTATTTCTTATCTGAAAGAACATTTTAATTTAAGTTATTCTATTAAATTAGCTATATTAAAAATATTTTTGAACAAAAACTAGTATAGATTAGTTTTTTCGAATAACAACTGCGTTGCTCGAAAGTAGCTGAGTTATGTGAAGAATATCTCGATCCAACGTAAAGAAAAAGGTTAATGGTTGAGATAAATCAATTGTAGTACGAGTGTTGTACCAAGTTTGTATTTCTTCAGAGTTATTTTAAAAGTTTACTTAAATAATTACAAAAAACAAAAAAAATTAATAATGACTTTTATAAATCAAGCAAAAATGTACTCACTCCTCCGTTGGAAGTCCTCTTACTATTAAAAAGAACTTATGAATCACTTGTCCCAGATAACTGTTTCTTTTTGTTTGGTTTTTTAGAGGGGTTCGCTTTTGTTTCTTCCTCTCTTCAATTCGTTCTAATCTCTTTGCACGCCTGAATTAAGTTAATCTGAACGAAGAAAAATTCTCTAAAAATTTAACCGTTAAAGATACCAGTATCAACCACGTTTTAATGTAAAACAGGCTATGAATTGAATCTCAATTTCACCTTTTAAAAAATAAAAATTAGTATTCACGTCTTAA